AGCATTTTAAAGGCAATGATATGTGAAAAAAACAAAGATGCTGCATACTGACCTCCTGAAAGATAGCCCTGGAATGAGTGCTGAAAATAATTCCTTTAAGGCTACAAAGAATTAAACAAAATAAGTGTTTGTTTATAGATTAAACAGTACATTGGACATGTACTGTATATAAAGAAGGCTAAAACAAGGAATCATGTGGAGGTCTGGAACAAATTAATTCTATTTACATTATTTGTAATGGGGAAAATGATTCAGTTTTTGAACAAATCGTTTCTTGAACAGCCTTCTGGAACTGAAAGGGCAGGGCGGGGCGAGGATGAGCTCCTGACTCCGCCCCACATGGCGGAGTTATCCCTAGCCCTCACCCAACCAATCAGGGTTAGCCGAGGCAGTGACATCACCACCGACCAGAGTAAAACCCCTGGGCTGGGCGAAATTCGCTCTCTCTTCCGCCATGCTGCCGGCGTGAATGGGAGGAGCCCATGCTAGCATGGATGAGGCTCTTTTGTTTATTGCATCGACTAGGCTCCCTGGTGGTCCTTGGGGATCATGAAGTCTGGGCGTAATAGACAAATTAAAGTTGAGAATCAAGGTTCCACTGTACAAATATATTGTGAAATGATTACCACACTAAATTTAGTTAACATCTATCACCTCACATAATTACACTTTTTAAAAATATATTTTATTGATTTTTTACAGAGAGGAAGGGAGAGAGCTAGAGAGCTAGAAACGTCGATGAGAGAGAAACATCGACCAGCTGCCTCCTGCACACCCCCTACCGGGGATGTGCCCGCAACCAAGGTACATGCCCCTGACCGGAATTGAACCCGGGACCTTTCAGTCCGCAGACCGACGCTCCACCGCTGAGCCAAACCGGTTCCGGCTGCACTTGTTTTTCTTATAAGAACTTTTAAGGTCAGAAGTTTGTTGCCTTAAAAGCTGAAATTTTGGTTTTTCATGGGAGACTTGGCTCTTCTATCCAGATTTGAGACGAGAAATAAATTTCCCTGTAGTTTTCTAAGCCAAAATCAGAAGGGTTTTGTTCCTCTCGATTTCACAGGGTTATTTCCTTTTATGGATTCCAGCTTTATCTGAAAATCTGTCACAATTCTGTATCTCACTCAGGCCCTAGGCCTCATCTCTTGTCCCTCAGTGAACATTCATAAAAAAGCTTCAAGCAATTCGGGGCTCTTTTTACCTCCCCAGGACATCTGCAATGTCAGATCATAGGTATATCACTCTGACCTTGGTGTTTTCTCTGTGCTTCTGGAACATGGAAATACTCCTTTTGTTTATCTCATGAGCGGTGCACTAAAAAGAGCAACAAGCTCTAGCTGGTTTGCCTTAGTGGTTGGAGTGTTGGCCCTCTGACTTAAGGATTCCTAGTTTAATTCCGATCAAGGGCTTGTACCTTGATTGCAGGCTTAATCCCCAGCCCCTGTGGGGGCATGAGTGGGAGGCAACCAATGGATGTGTTTCTCTAACATCTGTTTATCTCTCTGTCTCCCTCCCTTCTACTCTGTCTAAAAATTAATGGAAAAAAAATATCCCTGGGTGAGGATTAACCAAAGGAAAAAAAGCACGCAACAAAAAGTGTCATTTTACCATTTCTCTAGGTGTTTGGGATGAAAGAATCTCTTCAATGATCCAGTTGTCAGTTTTTTATAACTTCTTGTAAACAAAATGAAAATAAATAAGTTATCTTTTGATATAGTTAGATGTATATAAAACAAGTTGGATATAAGAGATCCAAAGAATAATGGCATATGAAGAGTGGTTTTTAGTGATCTACTCATCATTTGTGCATCTTTGGGGGCCAATCACTATTTTTAACAAAGACTTAGGGATGATATATATTTTTTTATTATATGTTTAGAAAAATACAAAACTAAGTGGGAGTTAAATGACAACCAGGATTTCAAAATATCTTGATGAACTAAGAGATGGACTAAATAAAACAAGATGAATAACAGAATGTGAAGTCAAGCATTTAAGCAAAAAACAATAAAGAAAATAACAAAATCCCCACGGAAACAGCTTCAAAAGTATAGGAGATATAGCGAGATAACAACTCAAGTAGAACTGTTGAGGGGACGACTTGACTGCTCCATATGAGCTCACAGTGAAAAGTGGCTGCTTCCTTTGATATTAGAAGAACAATGCCCAGGAGAAGAAGGAAATATGATTTTGTACTTATCACATTATATGTGAGTACTTATTATATACTATGCCACAAATTATACCCAGAACTTAGTGGCTTAAAACAGTAAACATTTGTCATTTCAGGAGAATTTCTGCGGACCAGAAATCTGTGTGTCTCTGCTGGAAGGTCTCTCACAGAATGGAATCAAGGTGTGGCTGTGCTCTCATCTGAAAGCCTGATAAAAGGAGCTGATTTTAAGCCCTCTCACATAGCTGCTGACATGACTATGTTCCTCATAGGCTGCTAAACCAAGGGCTTCAGTTCCTTACTGACAGTTGACATGGCCTCCACTCAGTTCCTTACCACCTGGGCTTCTCCTCAAAGCAGCTCACAACATGGCAGCTGGCTTCCATCAGAACAGGAAAGCAAGAGAGCAGGAGAGGACCAGCAAGATGGAAGCCCCAGACATTTTTTTTTTATAATCTAATCTCAGAAATAATATTCAATTCTTGCTGTATTTTAGATCCAGCCTACACTCAAGGAGAGGAGGACCATAAATACCATGAGGCAAAAATCATTAGGAGACATCCTAGAGACTGCAAACCACAAGGTGTCACTTTTTAAAAAATGGTCCCAATAGTATCGATACAACATGATATCCCAAGATTTGTGACCAAAATAATAAAAATATTTTTAAAGAACAAAAACTCAGGTCATGTAAAGAAAAATATAAATTGCTTTGGCTAGAAAAGAGAAGGAAAAAAAGGAGAGGGGTTGGAATTTTCATTACTCTTTTAAGAGAGTGCATACTTAGTTTTTGAGGCTCTAATAGGCTGAGCAAAGACCTATAGGGGAATATTCTAACACTTAACACTTAACATTATTATTTTTATAGGAGTTTATTTGAGCCAAACTGACAACATATGCCAGGGAGCAAGATCTCAAAAGTTCCCTTATATCACATAACATTTTAATGATCAGTTTACCTGTTTGTTTCCTCCACATGATTACAAACTACTAGTAGCCCAGTGCACAAAATTTGTGCATGGAAGGGGGGTTCCCTCAGCTCAGCCTGTACCCTCTTCAATTGGGGGCCCCTGTGGGATCGGGCCTGAACCTGCAGTCGGACATCCCTCTTGCAATCTGAGACCACTAGCTCCTAACTGCTTACCTGCTTGCCTGCCTGATCATCCCAACCTGCCTCTGTCGGCCTGCCTGATCACCCCAACCTCTCTGCCTGCCTGCCTGATTGCCCCTAACTGTCCTCCCCTGACAGCCTGATATCTCTGCCAAATGCTCTCCCTTGCCTGCCTGATCTCGCCCCAACTGCCTCTGCCTGCACGATCACCCCTAACTGCCCTCCCTTCTGGCCTGATCTCATGCCCAACTGCCCTCCCCTGCCAGCCAGATCTCACCCCCAACTGCCCCCCCTCTACCCGCCAGCCTGATCTTGCCCCCAACTGCCCTCACCTGCTGGCCTGGTTTCTTACAATTGCCTTCCCCTGCCGGCCTGATCTCACCCCCTGCCAGCCTGATCTCACAACAACTGTCTTTCCCTGCCAGCCTGATCGCTCCTAACTGCCTTTGCCTGCCTGATCACTTCTAACTGCCTTCCCCTGCAAGTTTGATCTTGCCCCCAACTGACCTCCTTTGCCAGCCAATTTGGTTCTGATTGGTCAGTTTCTATGCCAGTCAGCGTCTCTGGGACTATGAATGGGGCTTGATCAGAAAGGTGAGGCTGATCAGCAGCCCAGGTGGAGGCCTGGAGAGAAATGGAGGCATGGCTGCTGGCCCGGCCTGGAGAGAGGCAAGTGCTGATCAACAGCTGCCACAGAGGCTACAGATTAGACCCTGCTTCTCTCTTCAGGCCTCTCTCCAGGCCTGTTTTCCCAGGCCCCTCAGCAGTCAGCACTGGGTCACCAGGCCTACTGCCGTAGCAGTCAGTGCTCGGTCACCACAGCAACCAGCGCTGACTGCAGGACTGACTTCCGGTTGGTCAAGCCTCTGGTCATGATGGTCCCAGGGTTTTTATATATTAGGATTATAGGCAGATAGTACATATCACTTATTCACTATTATAATCCTCAGTTATTGAAACAATGACTGTACTCAATAAATACTTGACAAGTGATCAACAAGTATTTGATAAGTAACATGTGAAAAGACTAAAGAATAGATCTATAGGGAAATAAATTTTGGTTCAAAATATAAAACTAAAGAATATAATTCACAGAATTTTCCCAAATCAGAGGGGTTGCTATGTCTCTGGAGGTATTAGAGGAAATGCTAGATGACCATGCAAGATGAAGGAGATCAAGAGATTTGGATGTAATGACCTCTAAGTGTTAAAAGGTCCACCTCTAATGTTCTGATCCCATGACATTGTTGGTCTGGATAATCCTTAACAAAAATTATCCCTGATCCATAGGATAGAAATGGCCTATGGTACACTATCCATGTTGAAGATACAATACAACCACAATTCCCTCACTTAGATAGTAGAAACACTCTGAGCCTTTTAAAACATTTAATCAAAAAAGAAATGAGCCTCATGTAAAGCAGCTCACCCTAACACTGCCTGCTGCACTGTGAGGAGGAAAACAAAGGACAAAGGCTGTGGGTTCCTGAGTCCCAGTGAGCAGGTCTTGCACTTACCAGCTAAGGGACCACAGGCAAGTCACCTTACCTCTTTAGGCCTCAGCATCTTACTTCTAAAACTGGGATAACATTAACTTCAAATTGCTAAGTTTTGTTCCCCCTGACTGTTTTAAAGTAAGGCCTCTCTTGTGGCAGTGGAAGCCAATAAGAAACATTTCAAAGTCCAGGTAAATGAAAGCACTGTTCTCATTCCTACCTTGATAGTTTTTCACAGGAGTCATCTTGTTATAATCTTCTGATAAAATAAATTCCTACAAAAAAGAAGAAAAATATTAAGCAAAAAGAAAAATTTTAAGTGAATAAATATGTTTTGGTAAAGCCAGAATGTATAAAGCAAACATCATCATAAAATTACATCAAATTCTATTTTGTATTTTAAAAAATATATATATTTTATTGGTTTTTACACAGAGAGGAATTGAGGATAGAGAGCTAGAAACGTCAATGAGAGAGAAACATGGACCAGCTGCCTCTTGCACCCCCCCACTGAGGATGTGCCCGCAACCAAGGTACGTGCCCTTGACTGGAATCGAACCCAGTACCTTTCAGTCTGCAGGCTGACGCTCTATCCACTGAGCCAAACCGGTTTCAGCTATTTTGTATTTTAATATTTTGCCAATCAACTCAGCGTGTGTTATACCTATTCATTCACCTCATTTCATCTCATCAGGCAGATATTCTGTCATCTCATGTAATCACAAGGGTGAGTACAGTACAATAAGAGATTTTGAGAACACATTCACACTATTTTCACTACAGTATCATTATAGTTGTTCTAGTTTCTTATTAGTTATTACTGTTAATCTCTTTTTATGTCTAATTTTTCACAGGTATGTATACATAGGAAAAAACAGTATACACAGGTTTGTATTATCAGTGGTTTCCGGCATTCACAGGCGGTTTTGCAGCATAGCCTCTGCAGATAAGGAAGGAATACTATATTATAGAAACATTATTCACATGTTGACTTTCTCTTTAAATTAGCAGTTACTGAGGAAAAAAATTCTTATTTATAAGCAGTTATATTTATGGTTATCTTTTGTAGCTAATTTCTAGTGTTCCTGGCTTATATTGAAAAAGTCCTCCAATTGTCTCCTCTTTCCCTTTCCTTGTCTGTGTCCACCAATCTGTTCACCTCTTTACCTTTTCAAAGTACTGAAAAGGTTGTATTCCTAGTCAGGATATTAATGATTTTGAAAATATTCTGTAGATATGAGAAAAGTGTTTTTTATCCAAAGTTTGTATATCTATTTAATGAAACTTGACAATACTTTTCAAATATTCGATAATTTTTGTAAACTAATTTGTTTACTTGAATTTTAGATTCAGAAAGATAAAGAAATAGGCTTTATTTTTAGTAATTATTATTCTGTTTATCACTATTGCTCTTGTCTCTGGATTTTTATGAAAACCAGGTTCTGCAGAATGAGTCAATCAGATGGTAATATTACTTTATTTGGGCAACATCATACTGAAAAGTTGCTGGCATGCTCTGCCATTGAAGAATATACAAGACCTGTGCTTGTTTATACGCATGCCATCCTCAATCCCCTTGTGTATACATCACAAACCAATCAGCAAGGCCATACAAAAACTAAACAGGACCTCTTAACTCAGCCCATACTTTAAAGAATGAAGGAAGGAATGTTGAGATCTGCTTAACTGCCCAGCAAAAGTATTTGGGTACTCTTACATGTGTGCCTACACAAAGCCATACACTGAAGAGAGGAGATACAAACATAAAAAGTTTCATGAACTCAAAGGTCCTACATTACTGGGTGGGAATAGAGGTCTTCTTTCTTCATTTGCCTCCAAAAAAAAAATGATCTAAAGCCAAAATCTTTTTGAGAGGTGCTATATTGGTAAATTTCTCAGTTTACATTTCCATATATATCCATTTCTGATATGCTTTAAAATGTTCAAGATATTGCCAAATATATTGCTTTGTGGGTGACTAATTGTTTTAACTAATTGTGGTAAAAACAGATTAACATTAAATTATCATCTTACTCATTTTTAAGTATATAGTTCAGTAGTGTTAAGTATATACATTGTTGTGCAACAGATCTCTAGAAATATTTTCATCTTACAAAACAAACTCTGTGCTCACTAAACACTAATGCTCCCTCCCTAGGCAATCACATTTCTAGCTTTTGTTTCTATGATTTTAACTATTTTAGATACGGCTTCTGAGTGGAATCATACACTATTTATCCTTTAATGACTGGCTCATTTCACTTAGCAAAATGTCCTTGATGTTCATCACTATTGAAGCATGTGACAGGCTGCACAATATTCCATTTTATGCACATATCACATTTTTTCTAGCCATTCTTCTGCCAATAAAAACTTGGGTTGCTTTCACCTCTTGGCTATTTGTATAAATGTTACAATGAACATGAATGTGCAGATCTCTCTGCCAGATCCTGCTTTGAATTCTTTTGGATATATACTCATAAGTGGTATTGCTGGATCATATGATAATTCTATTTTTAATATTTAATGCTAAGAGGTTGATTTTTTTTGAGGTTGATTGATTTTAAACTCAGCGTTAGAAAACTATTACCTTTAAAATTGCTTTCATTTAAAAAAAATATATATGTTTATTGATTTTACAGAGGAAGGGAGAGGGAGAGAGAGATAGAAACCTCAATGCTGAGAGAGAATCATGATGGGCTGCCTCATACTCGCCATACACTGGGGATCAAGCCTGCAACCTGGGCATATGCCCTAGTTGGGAAACAGAACTGTAACCTCCTGGCGCATACATAGGTTGATGCTCAACCACTGAGCAACACTGGCTGGGCACTGCTTTCTTTTTGTTATACAGTTTCATAATTAACTCTGTTTCCTTTTTTGCCTTGGCTACCAGGTAATTCAGAATCAAATTAAAGTCTTAATCATACAACCTGTGCTAGTCTTTATAATCTGGAAACATGTATTATAGGTTTCACTGAGGCTCTTTCGGTTGTCAGGAACTCAAACCAGTGAAGAGAGAGTTTACTGTAAAGAGACAGAGGCCACGTGGGAGAGCTGCTGGCCACTGAAGCTGCGCTCACCCTGCTCTGTCTCTCTTGCAGGCTGAGGGCCTCTCTCCTTGCATCTCAGTAGTTTTTTTCTAAATGCAATCTATTATCCTTTCTCAACCAACCAGTCTTTTCTGAAAACTCAGCTTCTTTTTCCTCACAACTGGAGCTTGCATGTAGCCATCTCAGCCTCTCTCTAATGTAACCTTCAGCTTCATTTTCTAACCATTGGCTATCTCTCTTAATATTTCCAGGTTCAAATTCAGGCAGGAATCTAACCAGCCTACACATCTTTCCTCACCAGGATCCTGATAGTCCATATGAGGCCCCTAGCCAATCATTGGTGAAGCATCCAATCTCAGCTCAACTAATAAATACTAAAAGAAAATAGTCACCTTTTCATCAGGGCCTACAGAAGGCAATTCTTTTACCACTGAAGTAGCTAAACAGAGGAAGACATCATGTGTAACACATCTGATCCATCTTTACATAACCATGACAAGAAGACACTCAAATGTATGTGCACACATACTTACACACAAATATTTTCCCTGGCATTGTCTCCAATTTTTATTTTCATTTTTGTTTTCATTATATATATTCTTGCAAACTGTGTGATAAGTTTCTGAATTCAGATGGAGCATAATAAACAAATCAAATAAACTTATTTCTATATTATACAGAAGTTGACCCTTGAAGCTATCCTATCTAATAAAAGAGTAATATCCAAATAACCATCACTCTGCTATACCCACAAGCCATGCCCATAAGCCAATCAGGAGTGAATATACAGATAAACTCAACCAAGATGGCTACGGCCACAGAGAGCAAGAGGGAGGCTTAGGTTTCCCCGACAATGGAGGAAGCCAAGCTTTCCCCCTGATCTTGCCAGCCTAGGCTTCCACTCCAGGCTACAAAGTTTCAATGATAAAAGATACATAAATCCAAACAGAAATGGCGGCAGCCATGGAGCAAGCAGAAGGGTTGGCTTCGCTCAAGGCTACAAAGTTTAAATTGTAGAAGATAAATAAACCCCAGATACCAGGGCCTCTGCTTGGGTCGCCAGAGGGCGTGGCCAGCCTGCAAACCACCACAGGCCCCTTGCCCAGGGAACCCCCACCCTGATCTAGGACACCCTTCAGGGCAAACAAGCTGGCCCTCACCCATGCACCAGATCTCTATCCTATCTAATAAAAAAGTAATATGCAGATTGACCATCATTCCAACACATAAGATGGCTGCCCCATGTGGTCAAAGATCCTGCCCCATGTGAACACAAGATGGCCAGCCCAAGCTGGCCAGCAGGAGAGGGCAGTTAGGGGTGACCAAGCCAGCAGAGGAGGGAAGTTGGAGGCAACCAGGCCTGCAGGGAAGGGCAGTGGGAGGGACCCAGGCCTGCAGAGGAGAGCAATTGGGGGGGACCAGGCCTGCAGGGAGGGTAGTTAGGGGTAACCAGGCGTGCAGGGGAGGACAATTAGGGGGGATCAGGCCTGCAGGGGAGAGCAGTTAGGCATTAATCAGGTTGGCAAGGTAGTGGTTAGGGGGTGATTAGGCTGGCAGGAAGTGGTTAGTGGCCATCAGGAAGGCAGGCAGGTGAGCATTTGGGAGCCTGCAGTCCTGGACATCCCTCTCACAATCCAGAAATGCAGTAGGATCGGGCCTAAGCGGGCAGTCAGACATCCGTCGAGGGTCCCAGATTAAAGAGGGTGCAGGCTGGGCTGAGGGACACCCCCCAACGCACAGATTAAGTGCATCGGGCCTCTAGTTCTATACTATAAAAGTGCAGTGTTTCAAAATTATTGAGAAATTTAGAATTTTAAAAAGAAATTCCAGAAAAGTAATGACTTCAGCTCAAATATTTAAATGGAAGTAAATACCTTTATATCCTAATCTTTTTATCGACGTGAAAAGGCTGAGACTGGAATCTGCACCTCTTACTTGTTTTGTTTGTTTGTTTAAATCAGCAGTTCTCCAACTTTTGAGTCTTTTGTTCCCTTTACTCTTAAAAATTATTGAAGAATCCCATAGTGATGCCTTGTAATAGCCTGTTTATTATTTCACAGGTGTGAAAAGGGGGGACCAGATAATACAGGCAATGCCCTTGATACAGCTTTGCTAAAGCTGCATTTAACACTCTCCAAGTCTGTTCCCTGCTGGTTGATGGGAGAAGGGACTAGACAAAGGCAGTTTAGACTCATACCCAGTAAGTTCTGAATGATGTGGGA